TTAAGACTAATAAATAATCAAAGGAAACCTGTAACTGGGATGTCATTGCTTTGTTATTCAGATTGGCATCAAATCAGCAATGATAGCTGCATAATCATCTTAATCAACAGATAAAATAATATAGTGTCTTAAAGAAGAAATTGAGGGGTACTTATGAAATGGTTTTGACTTTAGAAATGATAATAGACAAGCTAAGAGTACCTCAGGAGTCGAAGGAGGAACTCGGTTGGAAAAGAAACTGGGAGCATAGAAAGCCTTTTTGACCTAATAAATGTGTTACTCTTAGAAGTGATGGAGAAAAAAAAAAAATGGTGTTAGAGGGTAAAAGAAAATAATGGAAGCTGGGCATTGCGGCACTCAAGAGGCCAAGGCAGGAGGATATGAGTTTCCAGTTTCCAGGCTACATAGGGAAAGCCTTGTCTCAAAAAAAAAAAAAAAAAAAAAAACATGGACTCACATGAACAGGAAGAGAAAGGAGGGAAACTGAATTGTGGCTTAGATATGAGATGTCCCCAAAAGCTTGGATCCCATATAACACTGTTCAGAAGAAGGTGCTTGGATGGATTCATAATTTGTGGCATTTCGGGGGAAAGGAGATAGAGAAGTTAGGAGGTGGGGACTAGTTGGAAGATGCAAGGCACTAGAGCAGGGGAAGGGGAATGTCTTGTCCAGCCCTTTTTCTCCTCCTCTCTTCTCTCTCCCTCTCTCTGTGTCCCCTTTCCTGACTCTCCTATGGTCAGTAGCCTCCTCCATCATACTCTCCCACTTGCATGATGTTCTTAGGCCCAAAGAAATGTAGCCAGTTGACCCTGGACTGAAACATCTGAAATGATGAGAAAAATAAAACTTTGTCTTTGAAGTTGATTGTACCAGCAAGTGTGTCACAGTGACAGGAAGCTGACGGATACATGAGTATTCAAAGACATGAGAGTCATCTTTTACTACTCAGAAAAAGAAGTTGCAACATTTCTGGACATTCTGAAAAAAGTAAAAGCTGGATAAGGAAAAGCAACAAAAAGAAAGATACATCCAAGGATGGGCCTCTCTGAGTCTCCAGGGGTTTTGGATCTGGAATTAAATACCATCTCAGGTTCAGAAATTAGTTTATCATGGTTTTCCAGCTCTCATGAATGTGACAAGAGATAGGAAATGTCCCCTGGACTCATGGACTGAATTCCTTGCAGGAAGTACCTATGACAGTCATTTTGGCAAAGAGTTGAAGAATCCTTGGAATCCAGTGGTAGATGAAGAAAAACACAAAGAAAAGAGCAGACAATAAGGACTGTGGAGAATATAGGACTCTCAGCTTATTTTAAATATGCTTTTTTAAAAAAAAATGTATCCTGCTTGCTATGGTTTGAATGTATGCATCCCTCCAAAATTCATCTACTGTAACCTAAACCCCAATGTGATAGGATTAACACATGGGACTTTTTTTTTATTTTTATTTTTTTATTATTCATATGTGCATACAATGCTTGGGTCATTTCTCCCCCCTGCCCCCACCCCCTCCCTTACCACCCACTCCGCCCTCTCCCTCTTCCCCCCACCCCCGCGATACCCGGCAGAAACTATTTTGCCCTTATCTCTAATTTTGTTGAAGAGAGAGTATAAGCAATAATAAGAAGGAACAAGGGTTTTTGCTAGTTAAGAATAGCTATACAGGGAGTTGACTCTCATTAATTTCCTATGCATGTGTGTTACCTTCTAGGTTAATTCTTCTTGATCTAACCTTTTCTCTAGTTCCTGTTCCCCTTTTCCTATTGGCCTCAGTTGCTTTTAAGGTATCTGCTTTAGTTTCTCTGCGTTAAGGGCAACAAATGGTAGCTAATTTTTTAGGTGTCTTACCTATCCTCACCCCTCCCTTGTGTGCTCTTGCTTTTATCATGTGCTCATAGTCCAATCCCATTGTTGTGTTTGCCCTTGATCTAATGTCCACATATGAGGGAGAACATATGATATTTGGTCTTTTGGGCCAGGCTAACCTCACTCAGAATGATGTTCTCCAATTCCATCCATTTACCAGCGAATGATAACATTTCGTTCTTCTTCATGGCTGCATAAAATTCCATTAACACTCGGGACTTTTAAAAATCATTTTATTGTTGTGCTGGGGGTACATTATGATATTTTTTAAAGTTCTTATATCACAGTTGAATTCACCCCCTCCGTCATTCTCCTTTATCCTCCCTGCCCCCATTCCTGAAATACTTTCAACATGTCTCATTTTTCCATTTTCGTACCTGAGTACATAATATTTCCATCACATTCACCCTCTGACTTTCTTTCCTTACATCCTTCCCCCTCCCACAGGTACCAACCCCAAGACAGGAAATGTTTTACCTTCCTGTTCTCCATTTTTGAAAAAAATACATTTTTGTTTATTTCAGATAGTTATACAGGGTGTTTTGCTGTGACTTTTCATGTATATATGTATTATAAACCAAAGGACTTGGGACCTTTATAAGGTGACTAAGTCACAAGGACAAAGCCCTCATGAATGAGATTAATGACCTTATAAAAAAATTGGAGGACACTAGCTAGTCCCCTTTGCCCATCCACCTTATCCACCATGTGAGGACATGGCGTTTGTCTCCTCAGAAGGAAGCAACGTTCATGGTGCCTAGGCACAAACCTGACAGTATCTTGATTTTTGGACTTCCCAGCCTCCAAAACTATTATAAAAAAAAACTCCTGTGTTTTACAAACTACTCAATCTCAAGTACTTTGTAATAGCAACGCAAGCAGACTAAAAATCTGCTCAGAAGAAAGTAGATGTTGAAACCTGAGACAGCATACTCTCAATGCCTCAGTGGAACTTGGAACTTAAGGGACAAAAAGGAAATGGAAAGTGTGGATGTTTTGCAACATGCACAGCAATATTTAAGGGAAAAATGGTACATTGAAAATTTCTAAATTATCTGAGAAAAAAAAGTGTTTCACATACCAATTCCTTCAAAAAGGGATTATAGGTGTGAACCACCAGGTCCTGCCCCGGTGGTTAGATTTTGTTCTGAGGATTTATTTGTGTTTCCTAAATTTTTTTTTTTTTGTCAGTACTAGGGTTTGGAGTCAGGGTCTTGTACTTGCTAGAAAGGTGCTGCCACCTCTTTTTGCCTTACTCATTTTTTGAATAGTATCTCACTTTTATCTCTGGGATGGCCTGAACCATGATCTCCTGTTACACTTTCCGTGTAGCTGGGATAAAGGGTACATGTTACCATATCCAGATTATTATTCATTAAAATGGGTGTGAATTTCCCTCCCACCCCCCAAGCCAGGCTGGCCTCCAGATCTCTGCCTCAAGAGTAGCTAGGATTACAGGTGTGTTGCCAACCCACCCAGCTGTGTTTTGTAAATGTAGAATTGGTGCCTTTGTCATCACTGTGGCCGTTCAACACTTAAATGATCTTTCTATGTTTGAGCAGTTTTCCTTCTTATGAGTCTACTCCTCACCAAGGCAAAAGCCATAAACTCACCTTGCTAGCTGATTGTCACCTTTTCTACCATAACAAAATCTCCAAAATCTTGGAGACTTACAACAAATGTGTCTCAACTCACACATCAGGTCCTTGGTTGCAGATAGATTTCTGGGATCCTGACTCACATGTCTTCTCACCCAGGACCTAAGCTGAAGGAGGAACTCCTCTTTGGGAAATGCCTTCTTTGTGGCCACGGGAAAATAACAAAAGTTGGTGAAAGCCTGTGGTGCCTCATAAAACTTCCATATGGAACTAAACACTTCATCTCCTTTCCCTGTCCAGTGACCCAAGACTATGACCAGTTCTATAAATGGCCTGGAGAAGTACTCTGTCCTCATAGGAAAGCACTGTCAGCCATGAGGCAATGGATTGCTGCACACATTACCTCTTTAAAAAAAGGAGAAAATCTATAGCAACAATAACCTACGAAAATATAAGGCATTTGACCTAAGTGCTTCCTTTGGATCGTTGATCCAGAAGCTAGGAATATAAGAGTAGTTGCCAGTCAGGGGTGTTGGTGCATGCCTGTGATTGCAATAAGTCAGGATTACAAGTTCAAGGCCAGCCAAAGCAAAGTTAGTGAGACCCTATTAAAGAGAAAAATACCAAATGAGGGGCAGGAGGAATGGCTTAAATAGCCTGGCCTATTTATTTCACATCTCGCACATAGCAATTTTCCAAGAGAATAGTATGTGCCTTCTCTTGCTTATTTGGTAAATGTAAGCATCAAGAAAAGGACGAGGCCCTGGCAGTACAAAGAAAAACCCAGATCACTGTCTCAAGCAGTGTGTGTGTGTGTGTGTGTGTGTGTGTGTGTGTGTGCGTGCTTGGGTTTTGTTTTTGCTTTTTTTTTAGTTTTTTTAAATGACTTTATAACCAGGGATTCCACTTCTTATTTCCCAGTATCTGCTTCTAATTCCAAAATTGGTCTGTCCCAATAATTATGAGGAGCTTCCCGCAGAAGTATGGAAGGATAAGTTTGCCAGGAAAGCTATGGTTTTGTTTGTTTGTTTTCCAATGGAGAATCTGAAGGCTGGAGCCATGAGATAGTGTATATTTTGCAGGAAACTCCAGAGTCTGCTGCATACGTGTTCCCAGCCCTGCACTAAGTTGAGTCACAGAACCAATCTAGCTGAGCTCATAGGCAAATTAGCAAATGAACGGACAACAACGGGCCTCATTTAATGCTGAGCCTGAGTGTGCTCGTTGGAGAACCTCTTTTGAGGGATCCTGGAACCGGTTCCTGGGCCCCTGCACAATTTAAGCGCTCTCACCGGGAAAGCGGACCCAAAAAGCGGAATAAGCCGCCAGAGCTGCCGTCCCCATCTCCGATAGGCTAGCGTTGTCCTGCCCCTGTCTACGATTGGCTGCTCCTGACAAAAACGTCACCAGCCGGGCAGCACCTGCGAGTGGACCCTGCCTGTCGCTCATTGGCTCCGGCAACGTGGGCGGGGCCTGGGCCCCCAAGGAGGGCCGCTGAGCAGCTGCGGACTGCGCCGGCGCTGGTCACTGGGTTCTGGTTCCCGGGCCGTGGCGCCAGGCCGGCTGGTAAGTGCTGCGCTGGCACTGTGCTGGAACCTCGGGAGCCGACATCCCCACTTTCGGTTTCCGAGAAGGGGGTGGGTGGAGAGCCGCGTCTCTCCAGAAGTTCGCCTTCCGCGGCCCCGCAGACCGCTGCGACCCCCGACCCCGACCTGCAGCGCCCCGAGACCAGGAGGTCACCCCCCCACCCCCACTCCTCCACGCGGTGTTTCCCGTGGTTCCCAGGCTCCTCCCTCTCCCCTCGCAAGTCTTCCCAGCCAGACTCCCCGCCTGCGGAAGGCACAGTCAGAGCCTCGAAATGGCTGATTATTCAAGTTTTGTCCAAGTGATCATGTATAATAAAAAAGCCTTGGCCGTACGGGGTGTGTCACGTCTGTAATCCCAGCTATGTGGGAGGATCACTGTCCAGGCCGCCAGAGCAAAAACAGCCACAGCAAAATGAGGCTGGGGTCGCAGCCCAAGTGGTAGAGCGCCTGCCTAGCAAACTCAACGCCCTGAGTTCACATTCCAGTATTATGACTGCTGTGCGTCCCCAGATCTTTGCAGAGACCACCACTTAATTTTTCTATGTTTAGATATTTTTATGGCTCTAAATCAAAATGATACGCTTCCATTGCATTTCTTGATTTATCATTTTCGTATTTCTTTTCCTCACTTTCCAGTGCTACTACCTTCTCAACTTTCAACTGCTGTTTCGAATCTTCTGTTGGTCTTTGTATAAGTAATATATGCCAGTTTCTATTTAATGTTCTGTCAGCTTTAGGGAATGCTTTTGGTGCTCCCCCACACTCACTGCCTTACGTGAAGATACTAACACTTTCTACACTCCCAGCCTACTATCAGCGGGACCTCAAATACATTTAATTCTCGTGTATTTTACAAATGTTGAGGAACTGTTCTTGGCCCTGGGGAAATAGTAGTGAACAAAATAGAAAATGTCTCTGGGAAGTAAACAAATGCTTATCAAATGATATTAGGGTAGGATTATTCAGCCATCATTTTCAGCTAGAACCCAAATAAGGTGCAATGAATAGCAATGTGAAGTTTATCCTTTTACTTGGTGGGCTCAAGTGCTGTTTCAAGAGGGAAGAGAGGGATCAGTGGTAGAGCACTTGCCTAGTATGTGTGAGGCCCTGGTTTGATATTTTCATCACCACAAGAAAAGAAACAGGAGAGTGCTTCCTAGAGAACTCCTGTGAGGAGTCAGGATAGGCTTTTGAGATAGTAGTTTAGCAAAACTACTAAATGGTTTTAGGATACTGGATTCCACAATTTTGCAGTGATACTGGAAGGAGGGAAGCAGAAGGAGGAAGGACAGTGAGAAGGCATAACCTGCCAATGGCCTGTACTAAAGCACAGCAGAATTTACTACCCTGCTTCCTCCAGGAAGCCCTACTAGACAATCCAAATCATTGCGAGTTCCCTCTGTTTTCTTGAATTTGTGTTACACCTTGAAGCTCGACAGGTTTTTTGCCCAAATTAAAGTAGTGGAACAAGATCTGTAAAAATGAGAACAGCAATGGTTTCTGTCAAGAATTATGACATAAACAGTACTGGTTTCTATCAAAAGTTGTATAAAGTGAACAGAATAGTGCCTAGTACATAGTGTAAGTTCCCAAGGAATGTTTGCTATTATTATTGATTTATACTCTCACTTACCTAACATTATAAATGCACTTTAGGTTTAGAAACTGTCTCTTATGTCTAAAGGTTTATTCACTAGACAAATATTTATTCAACAGTATCTGCATGGCAGTCGCTGTTTAGATGCTGAGGAGACAGAAGTGACTAAAATCAGTATGACCCTTCTCTGTACAGACTCTGTGTACTAACAAACTTTCAAAGTGAGTGAATAAATATTTCCAACTGAGCTAAAAGCCTGGTATTAAACATTCATTCTACATACCTCTGTGGGGCCCTAGCAAAAAAATTTTTCTTCTGGAATGGTGACATCAGTGTGGGTTTGATTATCATCAAATGATTTTGATCTTTATCTTCCAAGAGTATTATTTCATAACTGCTTCTTATATATTACTAAAGGCTGAGAAGAGAATCTTGGCATGTTGGTGAATGGTAAGTATGTTAGTATTGGAGGAGTGAACAGGGGATTACAGGACACAAAAAAAGAACTGCTGTTTCTTTTACATTTTACCTGGGCTTCTGACATCGGCCTGTTCGCATATTGAAGCTTATTAAAGTGTACATGTAAATGTACTCTGTTAAGTGAGGTTGGAGGTATTTATGGACTTACTCTGGATACTGAAACACCACATTTCATATGCTGATTTATAGAGCATAATTGGATTGGGAATGGTCTGGTAGAGCAAACCCAGAGGAGAAACAGAGTTGATCAAATGAATGAAAACTGAGAACTCCCAAAATCCACTCACTTAGGCATCCCCACATCCTTTCAGTGGTGTGAGTGATATGGCAGTCAGAACTCCAGTTGAAAATGCTTATTAAATCAACTTAATAAAGGATCCAAGATGATGGGTTTTTATCAATCACTAATTGTCATTTTTATTGCTCTCATTCTTCTTTTACTTTTTAATTATTTTTCTTTTGTTCTTTGAAGCCTTCAGTACCTCTTTCAGTTTTATTCACATGTGAGAAGGAAGCATGGATCCTGTGGCTTTAGTGGAAGCCATTGTGGAAGAAGTGACCTGTCCCATCTGCATGAACTTCCTGAGGGAACCCGTGAGCATGGACTGTGGCCACACCTTCTGTCACAGCTGTGTCTCCGGACTCTGGGAGATCCCAGGAGGATCCCAAAACTGGAGTTACACTTGTCCCCTCTGTCAGGCTCCTGTGCAGCCAAGGAACCTGCGGCCTAATTGGCAGTTGGCCAGTGTTGTAGAAAAAGTCCATCTGCTAAGGACATGTCCAGAAGTGGGGCTGAAGGGTGATGTGTGCGAACTCCACAGGGAGCAGCTAAACATGTTCTGCAAAGAGGATGGCTTGATGATGTGTAATGCTTGCAGCCAGTCCCCAGAGCCACGAGGCCCATAGTGTTGTGCCCATGGAGAATGTCGCCTGGAAGTATAAGGTGGGAGATAGGGCTTGGACAGTCCAGCCTCCTCTGCCTCTCACTCAGCCATCTGTAGCTTATGGCCCAGAGACTGGGAGCTGATTTCCTTGGTCCTAAGATCCCTGGGATCTAATACACTGAACCACACCTTTTCTGGTATTCATGGCCTTCTATGATTTCCTTCTCTCCCATTTCCTCCACACCCATCCCAAATCTCAAAATGAGTAACAAAAAGGTAATTTCAGTGTTGAGAATTTGAAGGAGACTAGTTTTGTTTTCATTAAAGATATGTAGATGACTTTGAGTATGAGACTGTTATTTAGCAGTCAAGGCTATATCTGTCAGGATCTGCAAACTTCTAACTGCCACACATAGTCACTTGATATTGGGTAAGTCACTTTACCTCCTTCATTTTACAAACAAAACTGAGGCCTAGAAATTTGAGATTATGGTAACTGATTTTAGAGGTGAAAAGGACTATGGGTGAGTTACTTAGGATTGAGTTCCCAAGTGGCAGGTGTGCTTAAGCACTAAACATGCGTTAATGAGCACAGTATCTGTTCTCAGGTATGAACCTAGGTTAAGTTAGTTAAAGGAAGATGAAAGGCTAGGACTTGGTTCCTGCTCTTAGGGTTCTTCTCCTCTTCCCTTTTTTCCTTTGGAACAAGTCATCTCTGTTACACCAGCTATTCCTTTTTCATAGACACCCTTGTCAGCTTCCAGTCTCTAGGCCTCTCCTAGCTCTTTCTCAGATGTTCAAACTGACATACTTTTGTCAGCAACATTATCCCAGAGATTTTGTGATAAGTGATCCTGTTCTGTTCTTAATTCTTTTTCTTGGAAATGAGATTAGGAGGTAAGAATGTAGGACAAACACCCTGAATTAAGTTTTTTTTCCTACATAGGATAAATTTCTAAAACATTAAAAGTGTATATGCATTTTATTTTTATAACATTGGAACAGAGGGGTAGTTTAACATTGTAACATAGGGGTTAAGAGCTGAGTTAAATCCCAGTCCAAGCATTACTAGGTGAATGACTTTGAGTAAGTTGCTCTCTAACTCTTAGTTTCCTTATCTGTAAAGTGGGAACATCAAAGTGTGGTAAGTATTAGTGCGTGTTGGCACTTGATAAGTCTTTAACAAAATGGTTACTGTGAACAGAATTAAAAGTGCTGTTAAAATACATTATGCTTTCCAGCAGCATTGCTGTTCTAGGACAGTGCTTCTTCCCTTTAATGTATGTATGTACTACAACAGGGATCTTGCTAAAATTCAGATTCTCATTTGGTAGGTCTGGGGTGAGGCCCAAGATCCTGTATTTCTAACAAGTTCCTAGACCCTGCCAATGCTGCTGATAATAGCCCTCACTTTTTTTTTAATACTTTATTTTTATTGTTGTACTAGGGTTACATTATGACATTTTCAAAATTTCTTACAATGTATCATAGTTGAATTTAGCCCTCCATCATTCTCCTTTATCCCTTTCCCCCATTCCTGGAATAGTTTCAACAGGTCTCATTTTCCATTTTTATACATATGTACAGAATATTTCCACCACATTCACCTTCTGACCCCCTTTCTTTATATACTTCCCCCTCCCACTGACAACCCGTGCACCCAGACAGGACCTGTTTTGCCTTCCTGTTCTCTGTTTTTGTTAAAACAAAAATAGGCATTTTTGTTTGTTTAAGATAGCTATACAGTGTGTTTCATTGTGACATTTCCATATATATAAGTATTATAACCTGAATTGGTTCATTCCCTCTATTTTTCTCCTTTCTACCTTAGTCACCTTCTCATAGTGATTTCAACAGGTTTAAAAATTCTATATTCATTTTTGTATAGGGAGTACATCAACCATATTCACCTTCTTAACCTCTTTCTTTAACCTTCCCTCTCTCATATGTGACCTCCCCTTAACATAACTTGTTTTTCATATAATACTGCTTATATTTGTATCGGGTCTATATTCCACATGTGAGAGAAAACAGTGGCCTTTGATTTTTTGAGCCTGGCTAACTTCACTTAATATGGTGTTCACCTGCACATCCATGTTTATTAAAGCATTATTCACAATAGTTAAGCTATGGAAACAGCCCAAGACACCCCACTACTCATGAATGAATTAAGAAAATGTGGTCTTTATATACAATGGACTTTTATTCCACCCTAAAGAAGAATAAAATTTTGTCATTTGTAGGTAAAAGGATGGAACAGGGGAACATCATCTTAAGTGAAGTTAGCCAGGCCACACTTTTAATAGCAAGGTTCTGGAAGACCGTAGGGAATAGTCAAATAATAAAAATAAGCATGACAGGAAAGTCCAAGATACTTTCTTTTTATAGAAAGGCTGGGTCTTTCTTCTACTTTACAGGCACTTAATAGCCATGGGAGTTAGAGTGATTCTTAGCTCAATACCTACCCAGGATGTCTTCTGGGCAGAATCTGTTCCCTCTTTGGTTCCCTCTTCTCCCAGCATTTATTCTGCCTCTTGACTGAGGGATAGTGGTTTTCCCATCATCTACCAATGTTAGGAAGCCTTGTTAGCAGTCTGGGATACCAGGGGGTAACCTCATGAGATTTTTACTATCTCTTGCAGTGGAAACTCCGTGAGGCTCTGGAACATCTGAGAAAAGAACAAAAGGAAGCCTGGAAGCTAGAAATTAGTGAGAGGAAACGAACTGCCAACTGGAAGGCAGGTGGCCATCTGGGAAAGGAGTTTATGTTGTCTCTGTGTTGTCCTGGAGCTGGTGCTGAAAGTTTCCTCATCACTGTGAGGCAGAATGTGGGGGTTGGAGTCAGAGATCCTGGAGTTCTAATGCCAATTGCCCCTTTACCTTAAGCCACAGAATTCCATTTCAGCTTCTTGATTGTGATATAGCAATAACCTCTGACCTAATGTCCTCATATATAAGGAAGGAAAAGTACATGCATCACATGCACATTATCTCGTGGTAGTGTGACTTGTAGAATGCTAGTAAAGTATAGTTTCTGTTTCACTTCCTCAGTTAGAGTAAAATCACCTCTTAAATACATTTGAAGCCAACAGCTGTGGAAACTACCAGAACATTTGATCAAGAGAAGGTAACACCAAAGCAATCTAAAACATTATGTTGAATATACATAACACCATCAAGAAAAAAATATCTAACAGTATAGTTAAGTTACTAAAGTAACTGTAAGTATAACCCATCTGGTTATTATTCTGCAAATGGAAAATAATCTAGAGCTTGTACCAAGGTAATGCCCTGCATCCTGTTGGAATCAGTAAGAATGGTAAAGTTTGAGTGTTGATAATTTACAAATCTGAAATCCAAGATCCCAAAATTTTTTAACCAACCTGATACTGCAAGTAGAAAATTCTACACCTGTCTTCACATGAAAGTTTGCACTCAAAATACAAACATGTTAAAAATACTATCAGGATATATTATAAAATATATATGTGGAACATTAACCTTTGTGTTTAGACTTGGGTCCCATTCCCAAAATATCCCTTTACATATATGGATATTCCAAAATCCAGAAAAGTTCCAAATCCAAAATGCATCTGGTCCCAAGTATTTCAGATAAGAGAATACTTAACCCATAACAGAGACCCAGAATCATGCCCTAGAGCTATGGGAGCAGAAAGCTAGGAAAAAGAATATCCCTTATCTTTGCCTCTACAGCACCTAGTATATGGTTGTATCAAAACATTCCAAAATACATGTATATGCACATGCTGGTGTCCTTAATTCTGAATGATCCTTACAGTAAAAATGTCTGTGCTAATCCCAATCTTGTCTCCATAGATGCAGGTGGAAATCCAAAAGCAGAATATCATATGGGAATTTGAGAAATATAAGAAATTACTAGAGAAAAACCAGCCACCAGGTCGGCAGCTGGAAGTAGAGGCAGCCACAGCTCTGGCCAGCCTAGAGCAAGAGGAGGGGGAGACTGCACGTAAACTCGAGTTGAGTCATGATAAGCACATCCAGCAGAGCCAAGTTCTGTGGAAGATGATTGCAGAGCTGGAGGAAAGGTCTCAGAAACCTGCCCGCTGGATGCTGCAGGTGAGTAGCAGCTTTTCCTGGGAAGCCTGAGTGAGAGTTGAAGATAAACTCACTTGAGATTCTAGGAGAAAGAATTAGCTAGTGTTCTGTGGGGCCAGTCAGTACTCTGCCTGCCAGTTGATGTATGCCCCCAACTGATACCTGCTGTTCTACCTGTGACTGCATGGATGACCTGGCCTATGGGACTGACATGGGCCTGGTCATCCACGCAGCCAGGGGGCAGGAGAACTGCAGGTACTCAGGTAGTTTGGCATCATTCCAGACCCTTCCTTCCATTCTGGGAGTCTTGAGATAGAGCTTGAAGTCAGCCAGTCCAGCTGATTCTGCTCTACTGCCCTCTCCCAAGCTTCTCCCCCTCGGTCCCTGCACAGCTTCTCTCCAGCCTTGTGTCTTATCTCCCTTCACTTTGAGAAACCCCTCCAGAGTTCTGTGTCTGGTCACTCTAAGGAACAGCATGTACTCATGGTGCTGCATTTTTCTCTCCTTCTAGGGTATTCAGGAAGTCTTAAACAGGTATGTTCCCATCCTTGGAGCCTCTAGGCAGCCCTACAGAGGATAGAAGGGCCTGGCCAGAGCCAGAGGTGGGGAAAGTATAGATCTGGTCCCTACAGAAAGCAGGTGCTGATTTACACTTTCCTCCCTCTTACGTTATATTGGCTAAAGAGGGTTTGTTGATCTTTCCTTTCTCTTCTTTGTACTTAAGATCATTTTAGATGTTTCTAAGAGTTTCAAGTAAAGATTATAAAATATATGGCCCAAAGAGGAAAAAGATTGCCTTAAGGTTTCCACCTCTGAATAGCAGCCTTGCTCCTTAGCTCACCAGTTCCTCTCCCAGAATCAGATGCACACTCAGCTATACCCACAGTATGGGAATGCAGATGTTCTCATCTCTGTGTCATAGAATTTGAGGCTGAGCCAGTCATCACATCTCTGCTTTACTGGGCAGGGGCACCTCACTGACTGTCTCTGACTAACCCCCTCTTCCCTGTACTAAAGTCAGTCCCATGAGGCAGAGTCAGGACTTGTGAACCCAAAACTCACCTATTAGGAGCAAGTCTTGGAGCCTGCAGCGGCCAGAACCAATCTCCCTGGAGCTGAAGACAGATTGTCGCGTGCTGGGGCTAAGAGCGATCTTGATGACCTATGCAGGTAATAGATGGTGGAAGAGATTGTGATGGGCAGAGGGAGGGACTCCTCTCATAGAAATAAAATGGCTCACTGCCCTATGGATGTCTCATCTAGTACCACTTACACATCACTGAGGAATCTGTGGCTGAATTTATCACACAGTCTTCCCCAGTCCCCCCCGTTTTTCACTAGCCGATGTGCGTCTGGATCCAGATACAGCTTACTCCCGCCTCATTGTGTCAGAGGACAGAAAATGCGTGCACTATGGAGACACTCAGCAGAAACTGCCTGACAATCCCGAGAGATTTTTACCGCTATAATATCATTCTGGGTAGCCAGTGCATCTCCTCAGGCCGGCACTACTGGGAAGTAGAGGTGGGAGACAGAACTGAATGGGGTCTGGGAGTGTGTAAGGAAAACATAGACCGGAAGGAAGTGGTCTATTTATCCCCCTACTATGGATTCTGGGTGATAAGGCTGAGGAAGGGAACTGAGTACCGCGCAGGCGCTGATGAATACCCACTCCTGTCCTTGCCAGTCCCTCCACGCCCAGTGGGAATCTTCCTAGATTTTGAGGCTCATGATAATTTCCTTCTACAACGTGACTGATGATGGTTCCCACATTTTCACTTTCCCCCACTGTCCCTTCCCTGGGCGCCTCCTGCCCTATTTTAGTCCTTGCTATAGCATTGGCACTAACAACACTGCTCCTCTGATCATCTGCTCTCTGGATAGGGAAGACTAGGAGAACCACCATCCTAACCAGAACCCTTGGAATTTAGCCTTGCACATAGGACAGAGAGGACCCTGCCACTGATAAGTGGCCCCTTGAATCAAGCCTAGAATCCAGAAATTCTTCTGCCTATTCTCTTGCTACTAGGCCAAAACCTGTCACTGAACCACTAGTGTAAGAAAGCAGGGCCCCAGTGAAAGGAGCACTGCACCCCATGAGAATAAGTGGCAGGGCTATCCTGAGGCACCTGACTGTGTAAGCATCCTTTAGGCAGGAAGGTGCCCATGCCATTGGCACATAGTAGTATATTGTGCATTTGGTAATATGTGTTTGTTTCTGGATTTGAATGGGAACTGTAACCTCAGGGTAGAAAATAAAGAAAAAGAAAAAAGTGTAAAATCTGGATCTTTTGATGTCACCAAGGGACTATTTACAGTTCTTGTAACTACATAATATTTTCTTGCCTTTCTCTTGTCTGAATCTGTAGGTAAGGGACATATGAAAAGAAAGAATAGTACTATACATAGAAAACCAGTTTGGAAGTTATATATTATAATGAAAGGGAACCAAGACTACATACAGAACTATTATCCTTAGAATGATTATTGTGTCAAGGAACACTTACAAAGGTAATTCAATGCAAGTCATAAAAGTATGTTGTAGTAGTAATCATGACTAAAAACAAACTTCAAGTCAAGTGCATAAAAATTATTGGCTCTTTCATGAAGCCTTGAGTTCAAACCCCAGTCCCACAAAAAATTATTGGTCTACCTACTGTGGGGGGCAAATTGCATGCAGGCCCCATAGTCCCATATAACACAACCTCTGGTGAAGTTTATGCTTGAAGGGTGATTGTTAGCTTAAAAGTGGGAACAACATAGATTCTAGGTTAGGTATGCACAGATGCAAAGTGGTTTCTAATTGGCTGTAATAAGGAATATTAAAAATTGTCCTATTCAAATTTTATTCACTGTTTACATAAGAAGGAGATAAAACAAGCCAAAGTAGAAAAATAAACTCATTGTGTCCACCATGCCTCCAGGTTGCTTCTTGAGAATTAGTAGTAGAAGGAGAGACATTTCTATCAGCTACTTGGAGGGGAATGAGCTGATAATTCAAAGACCTGCTCCTGGCAAAGGGATGAGCTGACTCACATCACAAGGACCATGAGTCTTTGTGTGGGGGCTCGTTGGGAAATAGAGTTAAGAAATACATCATTAGGAAGCACTTTCAGACACTTGGCAGAAGAGAATGGAGGGTAAATCAGTGTTCCTACTTTACTATGATCTTATTAGGACAAATCTTGGAAGATTCCTAGACAAAGGATTCATTCATTGAAATTCATTCAAACTCAGAATACATTAAGGAGTTAAATGGACTCAAATGTAATATACTATTTGGGGTTTGTTTACAATTTATTAGCAGATTTGAGTGCTGCAATTTTATGTTAGAAGAATTACAAGGTTAAATAGTGCCATTTTCATATCATCTAGTTTTTTGACAGCACAGGGTTTGAACTCAGGGCCTCACTTGACCCATGCTCCAAGCTCTACTATCATCTGATCTTTAAGACCAGGTAAGAAGATTGAAGTTCATGTATTCAAGCATCAAGGGATGCTTGTACTTCCCTTCTAGGAACTTAAGGAAGCCAAGGCTTTTATTTGTGTGGTTTACCCTTGTAGATCAGTGTAGTACTCTGTGTGTGTGTGTGTGTTAAATATTTAAGTAGTTAAGTGAGAGAGCATTCATTCAAATGCCTAGGATCAAAACAGAAGTAACTTTTTTCTGCATCAGAGGGGTAGTAAAAATTAGATGGTACTGAATTATACCTCTTTCAAGAATTATTTTGATGCATAGCTTCTTTCATTGTGACTTTCAAAAGTGGTCCAAACCAGTAGAAGGTAAATGCAGTAGTTATGCTGAAGGTAAAGTGCTCATAGTGCTCCCTGGAATGCCCAGGGTGACATCTCCAACTTGGCACGACCAGTCCTAGAAGGAAGGGTCCAGCTTTGCCTAACCTTGCTTTACTAACGAAGGACCTGGGGAATGCAATAAGTGAACTTTGAGGGGATAACTAAAGGGTAAAATGGTTGCGTCCTGAAAAAGGACATGGGCAAATCCTTGGTTTGAAATTCCCCCTAGGAAATAGTATACTTTTGGTCATTCTTTCTTTTTTTTTTAATTTTTATTTTATTCATATGTGCATACAATGTTTGGGTCATTCCTCCCCCCTTCCCCCACCCCCTCCCTTATCCTTCTGCCCCCTCTCTCTCCCCCCCAACCCCCTCGCTACCCAGCAGAAACTATTTTGCCCTTATTTCTAATTTTGTTGTAGAGAGAGTATAAGCAATAATAGGAAGGAACAAGGGTTTTTGCTGGTTGAGATAAGGATAGCTATACAGGGCATTGACTCACATTGATTTCCTGTGCATGGGTGTTACCTTCTAGGTTAATTCTTTTTGATCTAACCTTTTGGACCAAGGGTTTTTGCTAGTTGAGATAAGGATAGCTATACAGGGAGTTGACTCCCATTGATTTCCTGTGCATGTGTATTACCTTCTAAGTTAATTCTTCTTGAACTAACCTTTTCTCTAGTTCCTGGTCCCCTTCTCCTATTGGCCTCAGTTGGTTTAAAGTATCTGCTTTAGTTCCTCTGCGTTGAGGGCAACAAATGCCATCTAGTTTTTGAGGTGTCTTACCTATCCTCATATCTCCCTTGTGTGCTCTCGCTTTATCATGTGATCAAAGTCCAATCCCTTTGTTGTGTTTGCCCTTGATCTAATGTCCGCATATGAGGGAGAACATACGATTTTTGGTCTTTTGGGCCAGACTAACCTCACTCAGAATGATGTTCCCCAATTCCATCCATTTACCTGCGAATGATACATTTCATTCTTCTTCATGGCTGCATAAAATTCCATTTTGCATAAATACCACATTTTCTTAATCCATTCGTCAGTGGTGGGGCATCTTGGCTGTTTCCATATCTTGGCTGTTGTGAATAGTGCTGCAATAAACATGGGTGTGCAGGTGCTTGGTCATTCTTTCTTAAAATCTAAACATTGAAGGTTTACTGTGGGTGTGAGGCACTAAAGAGCACATGTTGCTTTGTGTGATGGGAAGGGACCATATCTTCACATAATGTGAGAAGAGTAGGCTTTTCTGTTTTGGGGGTAGCCATAGCAAGAAAATAGTACACTATGTAATTCAATCAGGAATGGGTCCCTGTAATTTAGGGAACACCAACTGAATGAAACACAGAGGTTTCAGGGCAACCATTCTCATGGAGATGCCAGGAAGAAATTTCTGCTTAAGGTACAGGTTGGGATAAACCTTAATTGATTTGCATCAGATTATTTAACACGTTAACTATTCTTTTATCTAATGGGTGTACAGTAGACCAAGATACCAAGGTATCTGTGATGTGGTTCCCAGGAGACTGCACTTGAAGAAAAAGTGCAAATGCTCAGAATGCATAGAGTTCAGTACTTTATTGTGGATGCTTGATTCATTTTTCCCTGAATGCTGTTAACTTGTACTAAAGACATGCCACCTGTCAACAAAGTCTAAAATCTTCACTATATCACTTAAATTAAGCATATATGCCCTTTCTGGCTTAGAAGAATTACAATAATTTTTACCTTGCTTTTTTGGCACCATTTGGTTTTGAGAAGGCATATTTTCACAAAATGAAGGGCATGATAATGTGGGACTGACTCGGAGCTTTTCTGAAGCAACTGAGCCTCATAATATGCTCAGGAATTTAAATTTTAAAAAATTTTTGTTTTCCAAGTCTTTTCTCTCTCTCTTGCTCTCCCCCCCGCCCACCCCTTCTCTCTCTCATTCTTTTGGCAATACTGGGGGTTGAATTCAGGACCTCATATTTGATAGGCAGGTGTTTTACCACTTAAGCTATGCCCCCAGCCTTTTTTTGCTTTTGCTCTTGTTATTTTTGGAATAATTATTGTGTTTTGCCTGGACCAACCTGGACTACAAAACTCTAGGCGTGTGTAAATTAGCAGAGTAATACCTCTGCTAAATTGATATGCTGTTTAATTATAGCATCCATATCTTTTGCTGGCATGGGACTTGTTTACCTACCAGGAATGTTTCTATTTCTAAATAGTGGCAGAGCAGGAATCAGCCTCTTAAAAATCTTGTAATGATATGCTAAGGTCCCAAAGTGAAAAACCACTCTTCCCTCTGCAATCCCTAATACAAGAACAAAATCAGATTGTGGGCTTGCTTTTTTTTTTCTGCTGGCCTGGGCTGTACTAGAACCTCACTCTTCCTGATCTCAGTCTCCCATGTACCTTGGGATGACAGGCATTCTCCACTGTACCCAGGTATTATTGATGTGGGGTCTCCTGAATTTTCTGCCCTGGCTAGCCTAGAAACAACCTTCCTAATTCCAGCCTCCCAAGTAGCTAGAATTACAGCCATGAGCCACTACCTCCTGTCCATGAACTCTTTTTCTTCTAACAGATATGGATTATTTGATTTAAGACATTCTGAAAGGCTAAATTAAGAGTGAAAACAATATAAGACCCAGTGAACTTGGAGAAGAATGGTGACATTGCAACATCTTTGTTTGTATTCTTATCTATTAATCCTTTCATCCCATCACACACCTGTATGGTACCCACAAGAAGGATCATTGTTGTGTTTGATCCTTCTTCTTCTATGTCTTAGGGTTGTGTTTTAGGATTGAGCTACTCAGAGCAGGTATACATAGCAATGAAGAGGGATGTCCAACACCAAACTCGTGTTGACTGAGCTCTTGGTGCTTGAAAACAAGAAGGTGATCGTTTGTACACAAACTTCACCTAGCTTAACAATAAGAGATAAATTAAAAACATACAGAGGTATCTTCCAGAACTAAATAACAGGGATGTCCCCCGGTGTCCAAAGTGAATTGGAACCAGAAAAAAACAACAAAAACATTCTCTAGCATCTAGATAAATGCCATCTGGATAAATAACTTCTTGTGGCCTGATTTCCTCTTTCCATGTTCATCTCACGTTTGTATCTCCTCAAATAAGCCAGAATCCGTTTTGGCTATTTAGGACTCTAGGTGGGAACACATGACCAAAGTGGAGTGGTTCATCAGTGGACCAGAAAGCAGTGTCATATACTAACAGCTTCTCCCATGCAGTCACACGAGGGAGAAACAATCCTGAGAAAACTGGGCCGGTGAATGATGGGTGGGTGTTGGTTTCTACAGCAGAGCACGTGGAGGTATAGTAATGTTGGAAATATGGATTACAAGCTAGGGAAAGAAAATCCCAAATCTGTATTCTCTACCCACACTTCTTATACAAGTTAAATGAAACTGTTAAAAATGTCAGAATATTGGAATGATCTTATACATATTCACATTCTTTCTAGATGCTGAAATTTTATGCAAAAATATTCTGTAGAGCTTCATGTTAGAATTTCTGTGCTACTAGGTAAACCAACCCAGCTCCATGGATATCTAAAGCTTCTTTGCAGATATATGGCTGGAAAACTGAGTGTCCGAACAGGATTGTGTTCATGAACCTTGATTGGAGTGGTCAAAAAACAAGCACATTAGTAATGTCCATATTCTCTCCCGTATTTTTTTGGTCCTAATGCCATAAATGATGGGGTTTAATGTGGGTGGGATGATCAGATACAAGTCAGCTAACAGCACTTGGGTATGCAATGGCACTGTGTCCTGCCCTAACCAGGCTACATAGATGGATGCCACCCCAGGTAGATAGAACAGAGCCATGACCGCCACATGACAACTACATGTGCCTAGTGCCTTCCACTGAGCATTCTTTGAGGAGAGACCAAATACTGCCCTGAGAATTAAGACATAAGAAGCAGTAATAAAGGCCACATCAGAGCCTGCAATAATGGAGGAACAAATCAAACTGTAGAAACTGCTGGGCATGGGGTCAGCACATGCTAACTTAGCCACAGCCATGTGTTCACAGTAGGAATGGAGCACCACAGTGGAGCCACAGAAGGGCAGATGACTTAGCATCCAAATCAAGGGAGTCATGGATATGACAGCTCTGAATACAGTGGTCACACACATTTTCAGAATAACTTGAGATGTGAGAATTCTGTTGTAGTGCAAGGGCTTACAGATGGCCACATAGCGGTCAAAAGCCATGGCCAGTAGCAGCCCTGTCTCTATAGCTGTGGTTGAATGGAAAAAATACAACTGAGTAAAACAAGCATTAAAGCTGATAGAGCTGTCTCCTGAGCAGAAGATGCTCACCATCTTGGGTACCACAGAGGAGGCCATAATGTCTACAGCAGCCAGAACATACAGGAAGCAATACATGGGCTCTTGCAGAGTGGAATTCATGCAGATTATAGCCATGATGAAGCTGTTTCCCAACAGTGATATGGTGTACATGGCACTCAGGGAGATAGCCAGCCAAAGATATGAAGACTGCAAACCTGGGATGCCCATAAGCAAGAAGGTGGCAGAGAGTTCCATTGTGGTGTTGTAGGTTAGTTCTTGGATCACTGGTGACATTGTTTTCCTGTTATAAGTGATGAAAGAAAATGATGTGATTCTGTCAGGTAAGTTCCCATCTGTCATATTGGTAAATTCTGGGGGGTATGCTCAGCTTGATGGCATTCTCAGGTAAGAAAAATGACATCTGATTAAGTTATCCTGCTCTGTCTTCCATCTTTCTCAAGACTCATTTGCATTACTAACTAATTTCTACTCATAATCCCAGGGTAAATTCTAGGATTTTCTCCTTTGGGAAGTCTCTGCTCACTCTCTCTCTTCCCTCATTCCATGCTCATGTGAAGTCATATACCTCTCTTCTGAGTTTTCATGAAATCTCCCATGCTGATCTAGGAGAGGCCTAAATTCACAATCCCAATACTCTGCCTCTGACTTTATTGTATACACTCAATACAATGTTTGTGGCCTTGTGCCAAGTAGCTATAGTATACATGTCCACTAAAAATATACATGTCCTCAGTATAGTAAATAGTTTCCTCAGAACCAATCAGAGAAAAGAATTTATCCTTTATCTTTATGCTTAGTTACTAAAAGTTAATAATTGTTGGATAAATAATTTCTTGAGGTTAAATGCACTATATTTTGTATCTTCAGTATACAGAGATGAAATAAGCATCTTTATAGTTGAAGAAATTCATTATTGGGTTCAAGAAAATAAGGTCATTATAGAACTTTATCTCATTCCATAGGAAATAATAAACTACCTGGAAATATTTATCATCTCTGACCTCTACAGGTTTCAACCTGGATTTCCTGTTGAGCTACACTGAATGAATAAACAACTCCCTACACAATTTTGGAACTACTGTATAAATGATTACCCACCATAAATGTTTCTGATTTCTCCATATAGTTAACCCCCTGTTCACATTAAACTACCAAGACATTCCAGAACACAAAGAACTCATGAAGAACTTTTTTTGTGTGGGGACATGGAGTTTCTCTTATGAAGAACTTTTTAATGAACATTGTATGTACCAGTACTATGTTGAGAAGGGTAGCATTTATAATCTGACTTGTAATATATTCATTGATTTGTAATATAGTTAAACATCCATAGAAGAAAGTTGGTATAATTTAAGTGAAATAATCACATAGCAAGTATGTAGTAAATTTGAGATATAAAAACATCTTTCTAGCTGTGACTCCCAGTAGTTAAACCACTCAAAATTAATATTCAAGAAAGTAACATGAAAGCTATTAGGACATCACTTGGCCAGTTGTGATATGACAAAGGGAGCTTCCACTGCACATCCAGAAGCTGAGTTTCTCAACATTTGGAAATTTCTGCTTATCACTGCCTTTTATCTACAACTGCCATGTCATAGACTATGTAATCAGATGGCTCGGTGGGGGGGATGGTAAACCTGAAAGAAGGCATCAGCAATAAGTGTCATTCCATTCCTGTGTGATACCCTTTCATCCCTCTCCATTTTGGTTGCTTGGTTTCCCAAGTTATGTGCAGTGCTTTGACTTGTATACTTTCCCCACCCTTGGAGAACATGCCTTAGAAGAGGCCCTTCTACATTCCATGATATCACTCTGTCTTGGAAGAGGTTAACTGATCTTCTCTTAGAAACCCTGAGTTTCTCTTGGAATACAGCACAAAAGTCCTGTATATTTCTGTTGCTCTGCTTGAGACGTGTTAATGGTCCTACACCAGTAAGAGGCAGAAAAACAAAGGGACTAAAATCACTTCTAGTTTCATAGTCCATAGAAACTAGAAACTGAAAACCCTACTCTGTCACTTGCTAACAGTTTTGCATTAGCCAAATTACATAAATTCTCCTAGCCTAATTGGCTCATTAGCAACATGAAGATAATTGTACCTAAACAAAGAGAGGTTTTGAAATTTAAATGAGAAGCTATATAAGCGTGCTTAGCATGATGGTTGATGCATAAGTACTCAATAAAGTATAGCAAGCAAAAAATGAGACTGCCTTCCCTGCTTAATCTTACAGTTCCAGATTACTCCAAATAGCACTAAAAGAATGTGTGTGACGCATGGACCAAATTAAAGATTCACCAGCACAGTACACATTGTCTGAAGTTTTCATCTTGTCTTCCATGATCTACCATGAAAGTTTTCTCTCCCAGTGGCTGGCTAAACAAAGGAAGGTTCTTCTAATCCCACTGTGACAGATCTCACTCTCAGTTCTTTGTAGGATATTTTTCAAGTTTAGGTTTCTGTCGTATTTGTTTGCTTGCTTCTTTAAATTTTTTTTATTGTCACTTCTGTGTACAGGTCTCTTTCCCATTTGCCTTCAACCCATCTCTAATAAATTCTAAGAGAAATTAACATCTCTCATGTTATTTAACCACTGTTGCCAAAGTGAAATGGGATTAAAGATCATCCAAGCTAAATTGATGATTATCAGATCATTCTACTCCCCAGGGAAATGGGCATGCAACTTGATCCCAAACCAGGATTCCAGAGCTCAAGTGTGAACCAGACTATAATAAGCCCAATTATCTTCCTCATATCTTCACTGCCCTTATATTGCTTCTCTTAAGACCTGAGCCTGGTGAGTCACCACACCAATTGTGTGATCTGGGTTGACTTAAGAGTAGTCATATATAACCCAAGAACTTTTTCATAGGTTTCCAGGAAGCCTTCAATGAAGAACGCATATTTGTCAACCTTTAAGACTAGTCTGACTTTAGCTACTATTTCCTGTGTCTCCCCTCAAAAAAAGGTTTCCAGGATAAGAAGTTGCCATAAACTTACCTTTGTGTACTGTCCCTCCTTACCTCTTTTAATTTCTCTTCAGGGGCTGGCACATCTCAGAACAACAGGATAGATCAGACTGATAGAATTCAGGATTGTATGTGCTACAATAGACATTTTCTCTGTTAGGCAAGAACTAGACAAACATTCACCTGCTTCTCCTTCCTAACCATGTGGCATACATTTTCCCCTTTCATTTCCTCCCTGGAGATCTGAGCACTGATCAACACCACACCAGGTGCTTATAGTACCATTGAGGGAAGGTCTCAGGAGTTTTCTAAAAAGCAGAATGTCTAAGACATTATTGCAAATCATGGTTATCTATTGAAACAATTCGACCACTAAAATAAAAACCTTAAGAATAAGAAATGTTATATAATGAGATAGGCTGAATGAAGTAGTGAGCTTTTCCTCACAGATGAAAAGAACCACAATGTGTATAACATAGGGTGAGACACCTTCAGTGATAGATCAGGAGAAAACAGAAAAGCATTCAAAAAAGAATGAAGGTACAGAGTGAAATTTTTTGAGGAAATCCCTAGGACTGCAGTATGTGTTTTAAATACTACAAATTCAGGATTAAGTATCATTTCCTAAAGATTTCGAAGGAAAAAAGTCCAAATATCCAGAATTTCTACTGTCTCATTCACCTCTGATGTATTTGTCCTTTCCTGTCGGCCCTGCACAAACCCACTTTTTGTGAGAGTACCCTCAGCTTATTTCCTACCCAATCCTTCCTACCCAGCCCTGGAAACCTCACTTCATACCTTTCATGATCTGCAGTGTTTGGTTTCTTTCCCCTCATTTACTTTTCACTCAATTCATTACTCTAAAAATTTCTTGCTAAGATCAACAATGATCTCTATCAAAGATATGTCCTGGAATTTTCACTAGTCAACTTTCCCTGATTATCTATGACTGCAAATCCACATCTTTTTCACCAAAAAGAAGGGAGATTTATACAGGACTCTTCAGGAGGAACAGTAGGAGACACAGGAGATGAAAGATAACAATGCAAAGTCATGATGACTATTGTCCTTTTCAAAGACCTCCCACCAGAAGCCCTCCTTTCCTGCTAGACACTCTTAATCATCCTACCTTTTCCCTGGATACCCTACTTCCCTTGTCCTCTGCCTGTCGTCCAAACACTGTAACTCCTCCAGAGACTGGTTTTTCCTCTATTCTGTCCCTGGGGATTTACAGTTTGCAGGAGGAGGCCTAGTGAGTGAAAAGTCTTTGTTTCTTCAAGTTCCCAGAGGATACCTAAATGTTAGACAGTGTTATAGAGTGCATCCTGAAGGGAAATCAAATGTTTGTAGGTTGGTTATATTTGTAAAAGGCTGCTGTATACTAGGCACAATATGATTTTCAAAGATTTTTTCATCCAATTTTCATAATCCTCGGAAGTAGCTTCCATCATTATATCTACATTTTCTAGATAAAAGTGAGGCGCCTACAAAGTCACAAAGTTAGTAAGCTAAGTCAGGATTCAGGTTCTGGCAATCATAAATGCTGTTCACTTTTTTGTACAGCCAGTGTACTTAACTCTGCCAGTGTACTTAACTCTGCTGTGAATATGAGTGTATAAACATCTCTTTAAGACCATGATTTCAATTCCTTGTATATATATACCCAGAAGTAGAATTGCTGTGTCATATAATAATCCTTAAAACAGACCAGGAGAACCCAACCTTCTCTAAGTGTATTTGGCTGGGTTTTAGGCATTATTAGATAAGATTTGCTGAAAAGGAATATACAGTACATGTCAAATCTTTGTTATAAACAATCCTTTTAAATGACTGAAGCTTTCAGATGGAATCAGTTCAGTCGCTTGATTGACAGCTGTCAAATCCTACCCCCACATCTGACCACAATGATAGGTGCCTGGAAGAGGAACTGGGAAGCTGCCCCAGACCAGGCAAGGACTGAGGCTGATCAGAATTCCTACTATTATCTTCTCAGTTCCCAACTCTTATGGGGCTGAGAACAACATGGCTGCTGCTCCTGAAGTTTCATGGGGGCTGAAGTAACTGCAGTTTCAGTAGGACCAATTTCATGGAGACATCAGGAGCTATTAGTCAACCAGCCACATCTTTACCTATCCTCAAGCTGTCATCATGACAGTTTAGACTGCTTTGGATACCGCATAGCTGCCCAGAGAGATTCCAGGCCAGCTCAGACACCCAGAAGAGACTTCATTCCAGCCACTGACTGCTGCAACTGTCATAGCCACCATTCCAGCCTTGGCTTTTGGTTAGGAAGTCTGTTTCACCATGACAGCTTCAAATGAACCCCATATTACCCCACCTTCAAACATTTTTCACATGCTCACAGATGTCTTCAATCTAGTAGGCAAGGAGTGCTTCACCCACCTATGACCACTGGGGTTGGCAAGCACAACAAGCCTTTACAGATTGCCTAAGCATAAAGTTTGTGATTGCCTAAAAGGAGTCTGCTCAGGTATGTGATTGGTTATATAAGCAGCTCTCCTTTCTCTCTCTCCTCTGAGCAGTCCAGGAGATATTCCACCTGTGCTCTGACCCCCTGGTGCTACAACATAGGCACACATAAAGCCTCCTGTATGTTTTACTGCCTACTTGTGGTCTTTATTGTGGTTAGAGTTGACTGAGCTGGTAACACAAAGAACAAGCAACTCCTAGGACTGCCACACAAGCATCTGGAAGATGACTGAAGATTCCAGAGAGTGTCCAGTAGTTGAGACTATGAAGGACTGCAGAAATATTGAGAAGGTA